GATTTGTAGATGTGGAATGGAAACAACGAAGTTGACCTCATGGACGGATCGTAACCCCAGAAGGCAATTTTTGAATTGTTCAAGATGTGGCTTCGTAAGGTGGGTTGACCCTCCGATGTGTGCTAGGGCATTGGTGGTGTTTCCAGGTTTGATAAGATCAAAGAATCGATTGGAATAGAGGGTTGCGATTACCAGTGCAGAACTGTGGAACTACCAGCTCATGTTGTTATGTTCATGGATGTTTTTTTTGGTTTTAGTTTAACCAGTAAGGTGGTTGAAGGATCTGGATGGTAATAGGATGGGGGGTTTTTGCTTTCTTTTGTACGCATCTAACTAGTTCAGGGGTTTTTGGATTGTGATGGAATGGGTATTTTTGGTTTCATTTTGTTGTATGAAGTGTAACAAATTAAGTTAATGGAAATAATGATTATGTATTTTGATATAAATCAGTGGTTTTAATGAGAATTTTCGTATGATATATTGTTATAACTACATCTTGCAAATGGTTAGGAATGGTATTTCAAATCTACATAGTTATACATGTATCTTTTTGAGAAAGGTTTGGAGAGGGTAATTCATAAGCAAAATGTTGATAAAATCATTACAAGTCTGTGTTTAAACATGAGACTTAGTTTCAACATACTTATTGATGGAAGGTCTTAACCCATACAAACATTACAAAAGACCTAATTACCATAATTTAAACAACCAAACCATAATTTAAGTTTCAAAAGACCTAACTACCCAAACATCCAACTAACTACTTAACAAAATTTCCAACCCCCTTTCCCTTTCCTTGTGTCTTCCCCTTTGCCTGTGTCTTCCCCTTTCCCTGTGTCTTCCCCTTTCCCTGTGACTTCCCCTTTGATCCAACTTCACCAATGCCTCTCTACCCTTTACATGTTCTTGAATTGTGCCCCTTGTTATGACACTTTGAACATGTGACTGCAAGAAATTTCCTGCTCAATTTAGTGGTTTGGCTGTTGGGCTCATCAACACCTCTCCTTCTCTTCTTTTTTGGCCTCCCAACCTACACATATGCATTTATTATATTTAAAACATAAACATACATGTTGGCATTAAAAGTACATATCTAGCCTTGTTGACATAACAACCTGTGTGTGATGTTTTGGTGGAGTTAAAATGAATGGACAATCACTTTTTGGCCATATTGAACGACCATTTATTGGATCAATTTTGTTTAGATACATGGCTCTCCATGTTGATAACTTATAGCAAGGATGGACCCAATCCTCAACATCAGGGGCATTTTCTCCATTTTCAATTTTGTTCCATATAGCAGAAACAACATGCCTACATGGGAAACTTGTAATCTCCCAGAACCTACAAGTGCAACTTCTTTCATTTAGGTTCACCACATACTGATCCCGCCATGTGCTTGCAACTTGGTACTTTCCTGCCCTATTATACTTAGCTACATACTTTGCTGCTTGAGTCTTAATCTCCTCTAAAATTATAGTTGCAGTATTACTTAGTTCCCCTTGACACTTATCTATTTCCTTTTGCACAACATACAATCTCTTCATGAGATACTCTCTAATATACTCTAAGCAGGTGATGATTGGTTTATCCCTACCTTCTTCTATCTTACCATTGAATACCTCGCAAAGATTATTCAACAAACAATCAGTGTGTGCCCTACCTATGAAAAACATATTCAAAAAGAGAAATTACAAATTTTATATTAAAACATAAAACTCAACAACTTCTTAATGACATACCACTGAAGTGAGATTTAGACCATGTCTCTACAGGAATCTTACACAACCAAGAAAGAGCTTCATCATTCATTTTCTTCAACTCATCCATTGCATATTTAAAGTGATTTAATGTTGTTGCTCTACCACATTCCCAAACCAAGTCACTCAACTCTTTTCCTTTCCATTGTTTCTTCAAATTCTCCTGAATATGCCTCAAACAAAACCTATGTTCTGCATTGGGGAATACCTTTGCAACTGCTGGTATTATCCCCTTAACAAATGCAGATATAGTCAGTTTCATTTATAAAAATAGACAGTAAGGTACACTATCATGAGAAATAACTAGGTAATACATACCTTTTGTCTATCAGAAATGAAGGTAAAATTTGAATTTGCTCCCAATTCCAAGTCTTCTCCTAACAGTTCCATGAACTAGGTCCAAGAACTAGTTGTTTCAGCCTCTACCACTGCATATGCTACAGGGTATATTCCATTATTTGAGTCTAGACCCACAACAGTTAGTACCTGCCCAGGATATGGGCCTTTCAAGAATGTACCATCAACTCCCAGGAAATCCCTTAACCCAACTTTGAATCCTAACTTCAATGCACCTAGACATATATATATTCTTCTAAAAGTTCTTGTAGTAGTCGACAAGCATGGTTCAGGATACACATCTATCCTAACAGTTGAACCAGGATTAGTGTTTAGCAGTTCCAAAGCATAATCCATTAGATACCCATATTGAAGTTGGTAGTCCCCACTAACACACGTTCAGCCATTTGCTTTGCCCTAGCAACCTTTTGAACTGACATACCAAGCTCCAACTTCTTACACAGCTCCTCGTGTAAAGCTTTGATTGGAATTTTAGGGTTACTCTGAATTTGTGGAACAATTAAGTTTGCTAAATATTTGGATGTACAAGCTTTAACTGATCTTGTCTGAAAACATTTATGGACATCGTGTACTGTTTTCACCAACCAATCCTTATTCTCATATGGCCTCGAGATATGGACTGCCCAAGGATATTTTCCTTTTTTACTAATCACATTTTTGCCCTTGCACTTTACCTTACTTCTAGTTGATGGCCCACCACATTGAACTGTTTCAGTAGATTGTCCCTTACACTTGACCTTACTTCTAGTTGATGGCCCACCACATTGAACTGTTTCAGTAGATTGACCCACAACACGTCCACATCTTACCCTTATCCTGATTTTATCATTTTTTGCTAAGTATAGGGACCTCCTTGTATTTACAGCATGTGAATGCATGTAGTCCACAACTTCCTTCTTTGTTTTGAAACACTGACCCACCCTATATGGTTTTAAATGGATCTCCCCATGTGAGCATGGAGTTGACCTACTCAACTACTTAAGCATTTTTGTCCTTTCATCTTCATAAAATCCTGCATACTGATAATCATCACTTTGAATAACTTCCAACTCTTCATCAACTATGTCATTCCCTATACTTTCGGGTTGCTTGTTTAAAATTCCATGTTCATCTACATCCACGACACTTTGGAATTCACTTATGTCTACATCCACATCAAATTGCAAGTTAGACTCATGTACAATGTAATCACTATCATCAGAATCATCTCCACTATAATCAGAACCATCTACATTCTGACTATAGAAAGCATCTCCACTATCATCACTTACCATGCCCTTTAGAATTTCCATTTCTACTTGATCGTCTTCACCATTTGGTACACTATACTCAGCATCAAAGTCAGCATAAGTTGAATAATCATCTGCAAATGCTTCAAATTCATCGAGTCTTACACTTTGTTGTCCATCAATATCTTCACAAATTGGTTCCTCTGCAAGATTGCCTAAATTACCCTTACACACTTCATCTATGTGGCCCATGATCACTCCTTCATTCACATCAATGACATTACTTCGTTTGCTAACTTAAGACATAACATATGGAACAATAGTCTTTGAATGATCCTGATTTTCATCCATATCTATTACCTGTGACTGGTCAACAACTGGTTGACAGGGTGGTCTTACTTAAGCTTTTTACTACACGATCCTACTTCTCTTCTACAAGGTTTTTTTCTATTAAGTTCCGGTAACACACTCTCAGGTTCCAGTTCCTCAATAACAACTTTGGAAGGAGACTTAAAATAACTAGCTACCCTAGTCTGACCAATTTCAATATAGACCTTTACAAGTCTGTGTTTAGGGACATACGAAACCAATTTAAGAACATCTTGGTCATTACCTAAAGGCAATAACCCGTAGTCTAAGGGAAATTCAGGGATACAAAAATGGTAGTAAAGAGTTTGTTCACCTTTGTATCCTAATTCTCGAACCATGTCATCGAGTTCATGGACTGAAAATAAATCAGTGTCAACGTCATCTACATATGATACAGTACCATCGACGTATTTCCTTCCAGGTGACTTGGTGAAGACACCACTATAGTGTATCTTCAACGTGAAATAGTTATCATATCCCTCCGCAAACACAAAAATAGAAAGGGTAAAGAAGATGATTTGTCTTCACGAATACATTCAAGGAAAACAAAAAACTGAAGCTTTTTTTTATGAAAAATCTTACCGTATCTCGATTGCAAGTCCTTCAAGCCCGCATTTTTTTTCACGTAAACACCATATTGACAGAACCATTTTCCTTTAGTGTTGTGTAAACCCTAAACCCCAATTTCGTTTCTTGGATGAGAGTGATCTGTTGAAGACGAAGTCACTGTACTCTTGGGAGATGAAGAGTGTTTGGGAGTTGACGTGAAGAAGACAGTGGCATAATCATTTCCCTCAATAAAGAAGAGGGCACAGGTGAAAAGACCGATTTGCCCTTGTATTATTTTAATGAAATAAGAGTTAACGGTGGGGTTCTAACAGTGTGAGGGATAAGGACCAACTGTCAAAAGTTTTGAAAGCACATGGACCATCTATGAGGTTTTTAAACCACGGGGACTAAACATCAGATTTTGGGAAACCACAGGGACCATTTATGATGTTTTTTCTTTTTCTTATTTTCTTATGACAAAATTGCAAAAATAGTCCTTGTGGTATACAAATTTTTGGGGGTTTTAGTCCAAACCACGACTTTTTTGGATTGGTGGTCCTTTTGAGCTAGTTTCTTTGTGTTTTTAGTCCCTCAGTAAACTGAAAAGACTATTATGCCCTTCTGATATATTTTTTTATGCTTTTTCTATTTAATTTAAATGAAAAATAAAATAATTACGTAATTTAGGGCCCACCTCTCTCTCTCTCTCTCTCTCTCACTCTCTCTCCAGTTTTCTATGAAATCTAAAAGGAGTCAACACCCTCCTAGTCCTCCAATCAACCCCTTGTCGAACTCATCGGAGCAGCAAGAAAACGAAGCAGTCGGAGCTACCGTCGACCGCCATTACATCCCACCACCACTGCAGTCTGCCACCATCGCCTTGCTGCCATTGGTAAGTCTATTCAAGATCGTATGTTTCTCATGACAGTAAATCCTTGAAACACGATTATATGAGCCAATGATAATCAATGAAGTAGATCGATGGAGAAAATCTTCAACCTTGGTGGCAGAGAACAAAGCAAATATGAAGTTCTAATTCCATCATATTCTTCTGATTTCATCCAAAAATTAACCCAAATCAAGTTTCTTTTGGGTTTAAAGTCGTCCCACCGGATACCTGCATCTGGATCTGTGGGCGGTGACAGGTGGTGGTGGGGACTGCCCACCACAGCAACGACGACGAGTAGTGGTAGCACAGCAGCTTTGTTGCTTCCGTCTTCCCAATACAACGGTGATCGAAGAGGAAAAAAGGAGCAAGGATTGGGGTTTGTTTGGGGTTGCTCAGATCAACAGAAAAGAAAAAGAGATGAGGTGAGGCTGGAATGGTTCTTTGGTGGGCGGAGACGTAGCGGTTCACGATGGAGTTTGGTGGTCGAATGGAGGCTAGCAGGTGGTGCAGTGGCTATCTCCAGATTGTCGGAGGTAGCAACCCCTTCTTGTTCGTTGAAATCGGGAACGAAAGAAAGAAATGGGTATACGACCCGGAGAGAGAGAGAGAGAGAGAGAGAGAGAGAGAGAGAGAGAGAGAGAGAGAGAGAGAGAGAGAGAGAGACTTTTATTTTTTTAATTAGTTAAATAAATAAATAAGTATTTAGATTTTTAAAAAAATGAAAGAAATGAAAAATAAATGAAAAATAAATAACCTAAGGGTATTACAGTCATTTCACTATTTAGAGGGACCAAAAACGCAATGAAACTAGCTCAAAAGGACCACCAATCCAAAAAAGTCGTGGTTTGGACTAAAACCCCAAAAATTTGCATACCACAGGGACCATTTTTGCAATTTTGTATTTTCTTATAAATCCAAAGTTATTAAAGATTTAAATTTTTATATTTATTTTTTTTAATTAACCCATGTAATAGATAAGTCTTACACCTACTATAGAAACTAGTATATAATGATTTCGAATAACGTAAATGAAATTTTGACGGGGTTACCTATCATTTTGTCTCGTAATCTAGTTATGTAAGCTCAGCTATTATTTCGTTAAAATGTAAATTCACGAGTACTCTTGTTTACATAGGTTGTCCTAATCGTTAAGGAGATGAACGAGTATTTTAATTTATTTTCAAAAGTATGTTCTAACTTTTCTTGCTCATGTTGGATATATTGGTTATCAATTTTAGAACTTTTAGCATTTTCGTAACATTACTTTTAAACCCTTACCAAAAATTCAATTGAAATTGAGGTAATCATGACTTCTTTGCCAAATACACCTCTCATCAAATAAGGTTGTCCTTTCAAAATTAAAATATTGAATTATAGAACTCACATTCTCCTCTCTTCGCATACCATATATATATATATATATATATATATATATATATATATATATATATATATATATATATATATATATATATATATATATAGAGAGAGAGAGAGAGAGAGAGAGAGAGAGAGAGAGAGAGAGAGAGAAAAAGAGTTAGGTTCAAATGTGGATTGACATCTATTGTGCGGATGTATGGACAATGCTATTCTGTGAGAATGACAATTAATATATGTTGTTTAGTAATATGATTACGTTCAATATTATATAACTATTGTCATCATCACACATTCTCACTAGTTAAATCGTCTATAAGGCTATTATTGATTTTTTTTTATTCTCATTCTGTAATAATGTTATCAGAATGGTTATTGAGTCGTATTCTGTAAGAATGAAAATGAGTAAAAAACGATGTGTGAGAACAAAAATAAATAAGAATTAGTGAGAATGAATGAAAATTACGATAGTTGTATGATGTTTAACGTATTCACATTAGCAAATAACCTATTTTTTAGTAATTCTCATAGAATAGCATTGTCCACACGTCCGCACAATAATTGTTCATCCACATTATAACCTAGCCCTATGTATATCTTCGACACGTTGGAACTTCGAACCGCCATACGTGAATCACAGATTCCACGTTGGCAAATATACAAAAGCAATGGCTACAATCAAGTTCCACATACATTTTAATTTCAAGGTGGGACATTAATATTGTGTTTTCTCTTACACGGAACTTGCAAGATGTGAATAACAACAAAGGAATTTGGAATCTAAGAAATAAAAGAATATAAAATTGAAAATGACGACACTTATGGGTTGTCATTTTTTTTAGAGAATGATTGATAATTTAAGTGGACATGCATCCAAAAACGAAAATTGTACTGCCTACAATATTTATTCGTCAAATATCCTATCGTAATAGACTTACTGACGTTTAGTGGCATATATAATCCCACTCCTGACCAGTACCATCACTGGAGCTCATGACATATATGCCTATTCCGGGCAAGAAGGCCCCCCACAAAAACTACTACTTTGTGGACGGATATACTTTGGACTTGTTCAAGAACTAACGCATCGTTGTTTTAACTTGGGAATACATACATACATATATGCATACATATGCTTCGACAAATTTGAAAAAACAACAATAAATGCTTACATTGAAATAAAATTTGCTCTAACTTCCAAAATATGTGTACATTTTAGGAGAAAGGTAAGAACAATGTATTTTTTGCCCTTTCTTCCATCACCGACATCAATGCATTTATGTGTCATTAATGTACCCACAGAAACCATTCCATTAGATCATTCATTATCTATCAAAGGTCTTCTAGCCCAGCGGTATCAAGTGGTGTCCTCCCTACTTGAGGTCGAGGGTTCAAGTCTTGCCGTGCACGTAGGTGGATTAATTGTTAGTTTAGGAGTAGATTATATACTATATTTGTCTGTTCAAGAAAAAAGATCATTCATTATCATGTTGACTCGTTCAATTTTTAAGTTTTGTTTACGTGTCGTTTATTTTACACATTAGGTGTAAGACTCGTGTAGTACACGGTTTAATAAAAATAAAATTTTAATATAAAGTTGTAAACATTATGTATTTTTTAAAGTAATATTTTTGAATAAATAAAAAGGATATAATAATGAATAAAGTAAGTAATTCAATATATATACTAATAAAAAAGCATTGACATATTTTAAAAACGATGTTGAAAATTAAGGTGTAAACATTAAATGTTTTTTTAAAGTAACTTTCGAAATAAATACAAACGAAAGGATAATAATTAGGTAGTTGAATGTATATTAATAAAAAAAATTATTAACATATTGACATGATGTACATAACATTGAATTTTCTTTTATCTAAATATAATTCTATATTTTGCGTTTGACTTTAGGGTCGTTTCAATCCATATTATGATTTTTATCTTTAAAACAATAATAAATCATAAAATAAAATTATGATAAAAAAATGTTATCAAACTTTAAAAAGTTCAATTATTAAAATGGAGACATTATAAATTTAAATGTATAACTATATAAAAATATTATTAATCACTATACATTTTACATCACTTGATTTTGGTAATATATAAATTCACATTTTATTCATTGTTTGTATATGTGTTACATGCATAAAATATAAAATATATATACTACTTAATTGTCATATAAAGTATAAAAAAATATTATAGATATATAAAATACTTAGTATTTTCTTAACTATATTTAGGAAAATATAGGAAAATATATGTATAAATAGTTAATATGAATTTATATCGACATAAAAAACATTTACCTAAATACATGATTTAAAAAATGTTTAATGCTAATCATTTGAAATATGTATCAAGTACCTTGTAACGACCCAATTTTTCAAAAGAAAATTTTCATTTTTAATTAGTCAAAACACTTTTCTATAAAACATGAAATCCCAATACGATTGTTTCCAAATTCATATCCAAAACAATGTTATTTCCAAACATCAGAGTGTCCCATAAAAATGCCCGAGAGAGAGTGCAAGCCGCGCCATCAAGCCTTGCCATTACCCTTGGGCTCAAATGTACCTGAAACAAATCCACAAACTGTAAGCTAATGCTTAGTGAGTCCCCCAAAGAACACCCCACACACAATCCACATAACACATATCAAGTTAGCTATAAAAGCTACATATATCACATAAGCCATGCATACAACATATAAGGAAACCATGGAAACCCTCCAGGGTCTTACACCTAGTGCCATTGGAACCCCCACGTGGTCTTAACTGCCTGCCATGGGAACCCCCACATGGTCTTCCTGCCATGGGAACCCCCACATGGTCTTTACTACCAAACAATACATAATGCAAACTACACATGCAAATATACTAGGATGCCATGGAAACCCTCCAACGTCTTATACCAAATGTCACGGGAACCCCCACGTGGTCTCAAGCTACTGCCACGGGACCCCCCCGGGATCTTCTATGCAAATATCATACTAACATAACACATAATCAATCAACAATACACATATCATAAAATGGGCCGGCCTTGGTGCTTTAGACCCATTGGTATGGTGAGAAGAATCTCCTCTCGAATGTTGAACTGAATAGTTAAGATCAGATGTATCCCACGCACTGCTCCTCCTCACCGCTTATAACCAACATATGATTAACTTGTCATAATCCTTAATTACCCTCAAAATCAACCCTGGTCAACCCTGGTCAAAGTCAAGGTCAACAATGAAGGTCAACAATCCATGTTGACCTCAACTCGTTGAGTGCATTCAGCAACTCACCGAGTTGATCCCGCATCAACTCGCCGAGTCACCCTAGTGACTCGTCTAGTTCATCAAATGTCCAAAAAACTAATGCCCGTTCAGACCAAAACCCTAATCCTTCACCGCACTTATCCAGAATCTCAAGAACAGGCAAACCCTACCCCGACTCGTCGAGTCCGCTAAGGGACTCGACGAGTTCCTTTAGTCCTTTCCAAGTTCAGCCCTTTTTAGTGGGATCTAAGGTCCCAAACTCCAGATCCAAACTCCCTTAGTGCAAATACCACGTAAAGTTGCAAACTCTACGTGCATGCAAGGCCCTTCAAGGCCATAACATCAAAACTAAGCTTCTTACAAGGTTTTTGTGCATGGAAAGGGGCTAGGCTGCATAAAGTGAGCAACTTTATGTCATTGGGGACCTAGAGAGGTCCAGATCTGGAACCATATCCTTGTGATAAGTCCAGATCCTAGTTTGACTCCATTTTGCACTAAAAATGGTCATTTACTTCCAAGAAAAGGGATCTAATCAACTAGAGATCAAGGTAACGACTTTATACCTCAAGATGATGGCCAAAACAGAGTAGATGTCGGATCTATTGCTTCTCTCCTTGCTCCTTCCTCTTCAAGCTCTAGAATCCTTCACAAATACCCCAAAATTTCTAACAAAAGCTCTTTCTCTCACTCAAGAAGGTTCAAGGTCGTTCTAGGGTTTTCTCTAGCTATTAGGGTGATAAGGGAGGCCACAAGAGGCACATTAAGTTCTTTAAATAGGGTGCAAACCCTAAAAAATAGGGGTTCTCTTTACAGCGCCTACTCGTCGAGTCGGGGCCTTCCGACTCATCGAGTAGAACCCAAACCCCGCGTCCTCATAATAGTCTCTACTCGACGAGTTGGAGCACCCCAACTCGCCGAGTCCATGCACAAAACCCTAAAAATTATATAAATTAATCAATACCTGGAACAGGTGTTACAAGTCTCCCCTACTTGAACTAGACTTCGTCCTCGAAGTCTGCTGGTTCAAACAAATTCGGGTAGTGGCCTCGCATCTCGTCCTCCGACTCCCAAGTCCACTCGGAGCCCCTGTGGTGCTGCCATTGAACCTTTACCAGCTTCACTTCCTTGTTCCTAAGAACCTTGGTCTTCCTATCTAAAATTGCAACCGGTCTCTCAATGTAGTTTAAGCTCTCATCCACCTGAATATCGTCTGACGAAACGACTGCGACCTCGTCTGTGACACACTTCCGAAGCTGTGACACATGGAAGGTATTGTGAATCTGACTAATCTCATCCGGCAGATCCAACCGATAGGCCACCTTGCCCAGTCGGGCTGAAATCCTGAACGATCCTATATATTAGGGTCCTAGCTTGCCCCTTTTCCGAAACCTGATGATTCCCTTCCATGGTGACACTTTTAGTAGCACAAACCACAAAGTCCCCCACCTGGAACTCGAGATCCGATCGCCGCCGGTTAGCATAACTTTTCTGACGGCTTTG